AGTCACCCGAACCATTTGGTCGCCTCTTACGACCAGTATAGGTTGCTGGAGACCAATTCTAACCTGTAATCCCCATGGTATAACGTCATTTGAACGTAACATATAGCGACATTGACTGTGGTGGTATGCAGACTGGTCTGTAGTCAGGAGACCCAAAACAGGCCGTCCGTAAGAAAACAATTGTTAAAAACCGTCCTATCACCTAAACAGGGAATCTCGCAATATTATAAACAGAGGGGCAAAAGATGCTATACCTCTCAGATGATTTTATCATATATTTGATTTTCAGTTGCAAATATCTTAAGTTAGCGACATTGTATAATAACAATGAACTGTACTGACGCTTAGTCACTTCTACACGGTTATATTTTCTGAAATATAATTTTATTTAAACTTTTATAAATTTGAAACAAAATCTCATAATAAATAACTGCTGATGGGTATCTTAGACATCTATCTTCGAAAATCAATAAATATGCTTCTTCGGCACAAATTTACATTCAAAACATGGTAGGGATTATGTGGGTGTAAATTCGTTTCTTACCCCTCTTTGTTGAACTAATTTAGTTTTACAGATACTTACCCAGCCTCAGATTACTTTTTACTAACTATTGTTGGGATACGTGTTAGTTAAACAGACATAATCAAATTTAAAACAACCCTTCTTTCAATTACATAAAAAAAAAGACTCGGTATACTTTCTTTTGCCGCTAAGTTTAGTTCAAAACAGACGTCATCAGTCAAATTTTTGAGCCCATCATTGCATGTCAATCGTTTCCACTTGGTTGTTTTTTATAGTTTTCGGGGGTATAGTTAGGTTTGGGGGATACATGGTGCTTTTTAAGCTTTATATCATAATGACAGGCGGTGAGCCATTGCCCACTAGGTGTGCAAAATAAACAAACCTCAGGTGCATGATTGTCTGGTCCAGACTTGATTATTTACAGACGGCCTTCATATTGCTGTGATGTTGAGGAGTATGGCGTTAAACAAACAAATGAACCAAACCAACATCACTATTTCAATAATGAATGTCAATATATTTATCAAAAAAGAGCAAACAACTTTTTCACAATATAGTTATTTTTCAGAAAAATATTAGTTCGTTCTGAACAGATATCTTATTACTGATTCATGTATTTAAAAGAGCATGTAACACAGCACAAGGGAGGTAATGATTTATCATAAATTAAAGTCACGATGCAGTGAGTGAGTGAGTATGGTTTTACGCTGCCTTTAGCAATATTCCAGCAATATCGCGGCGGCTGGGGACACCAGAAATGGGCTTCATAAATTGTACCAATGTTGGGAATCGAACCCGGGTCTTCAGCGTGATGAGCGTACGCTTTAACCACTAGGCTACCCAAACGCCTATAAGATGCATAGGCTTCCTATCTATTTTCCTGTGATGTTAGTCGATGAAAAGGCCAAAACAGAGCTATCAAGAAAGAAATTTGTTCTTTTATGTTTCGATGATGTAATGTGCACATTATTTATTTTTGGTTTTGGTTTTTCTGTTTGTTTATTGTTGTTTTTTTGGCCCCCTCCCTGCAATAAATTACCTGTCCCTTAGTATAGGATATATCACCAAGGTCAATGATACCACGTGGTCAAATGTTCCGACGGCTTCCACGTCATTTCAAGGCATTGTAACTTTTTAGACCCAATATAACATTAATTGATCACATTGACACATTGACAAAGCAATGCAGAAAGATTCCAGTACGTATTGGGATCGTAATGAACAAGCATCGTTGCGCCACCAGTGGCTATTACGATTTATGTTCCTTCTATGTCCATCCTACTGACCAATCAGATTCCACCTCTGTTATCACTTGCATTTGCACCAAACAAAATGGCGGCAAGTGAAGACGATTTGATCGATAATCAAGATATCTATTGTAATAAAATGGGTCTTACTTCGCGAAGTGTACCAAATCACGTGATTACCTTGATTAAGAACATTAATAGATTTGGAAAATATCAGCATTCTGTTGACGGTACACATGCTTTCAAAATCCTGCAATCGACCGAAATCTGTATACGAACCGAAAGTTAATTTCGTTTCGCGATTTCGATTGGATTATGCAAAGACTCATTAGGCCAGCCAAAATATAACTCCATAATTCCGGCCTTGTTTGGCAAGAAAGGAAACTGGATTTTTATAGTCGGATAACTCCCTTGCCTCGGGAAAATGATCCCCCACCAATGATTGCAAGCTGACAACTATAAACTAATAATATTGAATTTTATAAAACGACAGGCATCAGTCCTAACTAACATGATACATTTACAAAGTCGCGGGCCACTTAGTGAAAGATCTGGTACCAGAATAAAACTGACCTTAATTTGTTGCCTCGGAAAAGAAAATCTATTTTTTTAACTTCCAGAACATCAAATGCACTAGTTCAGCACTTGCTTCATGTGCATACAAAGGTTCACAATATATGAAACAGTTAATGCTCTCATTTCAGCAAACCCAAACAACAACTAAACATAGGGCATAACTCTGTAACATATTAAGTCTTTATGGCTGTTTTCGAACTTCATAACATATTCAAAATTTCATCTATAGTGGTTTCTGAGAAATTGACAGTACCGTGCACCATGTGCAAAAGACCAAATAGGGGCCATAACTCTGAAAACCATGAATTTACAATGACGGATTTCAAACTTGATCGAAATATTTCTCTCTTACTGATTTATGCAAAATGTCGTCCCTTTAACATTAGCGGATTCAAGAAAATCTGCACTTTATGGGAGTACAGTGCACCAGGTCCAAAACCTTAAGGTAAGGGTCATAACTCTGCAAAATAATTATTTCTGATGCTTCGCAGCTCAACATCCTATAGTGACATGTGCAAATACAACAATAAACAAAAAACAGTACAGTGTTCACCTGACCAGCTACATTACACAAAACACGAGATATGTATAGGTTTGGTTGGTTGGTTGGTTTGTTGTTTAACGCCGCACTCAGCAATATTCCAGCTATATGACGGAGATAATCGAGTCTGGACCAGACAATCCAGTGATTAATATCATGAGCTTAGATCCACGCAATTGGAATCGATGACATGCATCTACCAAGTCAGCGAGCCTGACCACCCGATCCCGTTAGTCGCCTTTTACGACAAGCTTAGTCATCTTTTACGGCAAGCATGGGTTGCTGAAGACCTATTCTACCCCGGATCTTCACAGGTCGTATAGGTTTGGTAAAGGTTGGGTGAAATGCAAATGACCTTTCTACGGGTCAGTATTCGAGAGATACCAGGGTAAGTCAGTACTGAGCACCGGTATGTTCTGTTACAGTGTACCTGAGAAAAGCACTGTTAATCATTTAACAGGGTTTTATCTAGGATTCGAAACTAAGCACCTTTGACAGGTTAATTGGGGACAGAATTGTGATATTTTTTTATGTTCTTGTTTTTGTTTATTCTGAGGTTTTAGTAACTTTTGTATTCAAATTGGGAATTTTTACTGTCATTTACTGAAGACTTGGGGCCGTTATCAATGGAGTAATTAATCGAGTCTGGACCAGACATGAGCATCGCTCTACACTATTAGGATACAACGCCATGCATCAACCAACTCAATCTGTCCACCCTATCTCGTTAGTCGCCCTTACGTCAAGCATGGGTTTCAGAAGATCAAGTCTGTTTTATGGACACACCAGAATCATTTAAACCTAGCTAATTAATGACCTGTCTTCTTACTTATGTGAGCAGATAAGAATAGCAGTATTCATCATGAAAAGAAAACTCTGAAAGCCTTATCATTTCTTTGCGAATACCTGCTTCACTGAGTAGGTCCAATCTTTCTCCAACTAAAGTTGGTTGGTTGCTTGGTTTGTTGTCTAACGCCGCACTCAGCAATATTCCAGCTATATGACGGCGGTCTGTAAATAATCGAGTCAGGACCAGACAATAAAGTGATTGATATCATGAGCATCGGTCCACGCAATTGGGATCAATGACATGCATCAACCAAGTCAGCGAGCCTGACCACCCGAACCCGTTAGTAGCCTTTTACGACAAGCATAGGTTGAAGACCTATTCTACCCCGGAATCTTCACGGGTCTCTCCAACCAAAGACGTACATACATCCATCTATATGTCTTTTCTCCAACATAGGTGCAGGTTTTTGTTTTGAGAAAAAGTCCATTTACCTTATTGGAAATTGAACTCCGTCAACTCCCTTGCCTCGGAAAGATGACCTGACCTGTCTTGAAATTAAGTGTACGAAACAGTATTATTTTAATTGGGCCAGATACACTGCACTTAAATAAGACATCTACAGTTTGTAACATTTTTGTGTGCTGCTTAACACCGCACTCAGCAATATTCCAGCCATATGACGGCGGTCTGTAAATAATCGAGTCTGAAACAGACAATCCAGGGATTGACCACATGAGCATCGATCTACGCAATTTGGGATATCATACAACACATCATACTGTCTATATCTCCTGTTGTAATTAGCATTGGATAAGGACAAAGAATAACAGAACAAAAACAGTAGCTTCAAGGTGCCATTTATCTAAGGCGTCAAGAGTTATCTCCCATACATTAAAGCACCTTCCCGAGACAAGGGACTTAACTGACTATAGAAGTCCAGTTTCCACCCTTGCCGAACTAGGCTGGTATTATGGAGTATTGTGGTATTTTGGCTGGACTAACTAGTCAATGTATAGTCCAATCAAATTCGCGCAATGAAATCGAAATCCGGTTCGTAAACTGTTATGCAGAGTTCGGTCGATTGCAGGAATTGCAAAGCATGTGCACTGCCTACTCGGCGTCAACAGATATTTTCCAAATCTTTTCATGTTTTTAATCATGGTGCTCAAGTGATTTGATGCATTTCACGATGTAAGACCCATTTTGTCACAATAAAGATCTTGATTATCGATCCTATCGTCTTGACTGGGCACCGCCATTTAGTTTGAAGCAAATGCAAGTGATACGAGAGGTAGAATCTGATTGGTCCATATGAGAGGCATAGTAGGGACATAACTCGTAATAGCCACTGGTGCCGTTACGATCAAGTCCAGGAATTCAAGCCTAGTTCTGCAAGGGTGGAAACTGGACTTTTAAAGTCAGTTAACTCTCTTGCCTCGGGAAGATGGCATTGAAGCTGCAGGATAAGCTAACTCCTCATTAAAGTGCAGATATCCCAGTTTACAGCAGTCAACTTTCCATGGTCATTAAGTAAAAAAGGAATGATATCAAGATTTGTTGTCATTCAGTGAGAAAGGATATTCTATGCACCAACTCATATATTTTCCATAAAAACAACGACAATGTTTTTGTAAATCAAGAACCTGAACTGGCAGTGACTGTCAAAACTCCAGTAAATGTGTATATGGACCATTGGTATCACATGAAAACACCTGTCTGTTCCCATAGGTACCTGCCTGGACGACACATCCAGCCTCCTGTGAACAAACAGTCTCCTGTAGGGCAGTCCGACACAGAGACACAAAATCTGCGTACAAAGATGCTCCCTCCCCTTTGTCTATGTTTCTATGATACTGCATTCTCTTGCCCTTCAGAGATCCACCAAGTGTAGCCTGTGGAATGATGAGGACATTCCCTGGGAGCTCCAACACAGAAACACGCTTCCCTTCACCAGTCTCACTCAACTGGGCAGACAGCACACACTTCACTACAACCAACAACGTTTACAATCACTCCACTACAAAACTAGACTTTATTGCAGGCTTTACAAGCCTTATCAGTTGACCTTGTGTACATTTCACTGAAATAAAAATCCTGACATTTAAACACAACACTTAAGCAATGTTAAGTCCATAGGCAGATCCAGAGGTAGGGTCCATGCCCAAATTCATCTTCCTATGTCTGTGAAATTCATAGAAGCTTACAGAGCCAATATGCCTTAGAATTCGAGAGCATGGTCAAAATAAAGTCAAAATTGCAAAATATTTTAAAGTAGATTATTTAATAACTACCCACTATTCACTACACATATACCAAATTTCATCACATTTATTAACAACAAAAAATTGACTGAGTAATGCCCATAATTAACTTTTTCAATATGGTAGGTGAGATGGCCAAATCGAGCATAATCAAAGTGCAAAGGTGAAAATTATGAAAATAATGAAAAATGGAACACGCATTGATTCCCACTACTAATTACACACATACCAATTTTTCCCTACATTTTGACAGATAAATGCTGAGTAGTGGCCATAAAGATGTTTTTAACATGGTGGCCATGTTGAAAATCTGCGGTGGCCCATACACGCCACTGGTGAGATCATTTTTCACTGCATGCCTCTATATTTTATCTGGCTCAATCTTTCAAAGCTCAATCTTATGGATACAATCTCCAACCTGTCGATTGCCAGGGCACTGATCTGGAAGTAATTCTGGTCACATGTGGTATGCCAATTTGAAACGGAAAGTATCTAGCAAAATATAGAGGCATACAGTGAAAAATTATCTCACCAGTGGACATATCTGGCGGCCGCCAGAAAAAAATATAGAGGCATACAGTGAAAAATGATCTCACCAGTGGCAGGTATGGGCCACCGGAAAAATCAAATTTGAACTTCTTGAAAAGATTCAGTGTTATCATAGGTGAAAACAGTGACTTTGTCTTGCCAGTTGAAATATTACCCATTTTATCAAGGATATCAGCTGTAGCTCCTTTCAGGAAACACACATACATGACAAGTCCTTTTCCAATCTGAAATATAAAAAAGCCTATATGCTACTAATCACCTGAATACTTGTTATGAATAGTTGTGAAAAGTTATGAATACACATGTCTGTATAAAAACTAAGGCATTTATTTCAATGTTTCTTTGTTGTTTTGTCAGTCAGCAATATTCCTCAATTTTTAAGTCCTTTTTAGTAACTTTTAGACCATGATTTGCATGTCAGACAACAGTAATAAGATTGGTTGAAGACTGGTGGAAAGCATGTTATAATCATATGAGTATGTCGCTGCAATATCTAGAAGGCTTTTAATTATCTTCCTCATCACTAGAGACTGGTGAAGCTGCAAGGCCTACGCCACCCCTACGCAGCTATCACAGAAAACAACATGTACAACTGGGTCCAAACTGCAGTGACTAGCTTTATATCTTTGAGGGTGTAGGACAGTGTATGCCCTGTTATCACACTATCCCCCTTCCATCCTAATTCGCTAATTCTGGATGGATCTCTACAATCAAATTTCATGGACACTTGGTTGCCATATACCTCAACATATTTTGCTTCAGTATCCTCTGTGGCAGGTTGAACTTGTAAACGTGCAGATAAACATTGCTGTAAAACAATTCGGGCTTTACTCCCCTGACCACTCGCCATTACACCAGCAGACAAGATAAATGCCAGGAAGGTTCGCGTGGCCTGAAAGAGCGTCTGCAACCAAGGGGGGTAACTCTATTGCACGTACATAAAATACACATAGTATAAAAGTAAAACTACAGTTACAAACCACAATCCATATATTGGAATTATTTTGGATGATATTGTAATACGAAATATCCGAAAGGGGAGAAGGTCGTTACTTGAAGAAAAGCTCAGTCTCAATTGTTCTTATCACAAGCGACCCAAGATGGCAGCTCCCACTGGGCATGACCGATCACGCCGTCCTAACGACGAGGAAGAAGATGACCCAGTTGAGGCAATGTTGAAGCGAACAGGCTGTGCTGAGTTGCATTATGCTGTTCAGGTGTGTCATGTTCATAACATTTAACTGTCGTGCATTTTTCATGAAAGATAGGTTTTTACCCCACTGACCACAGCTTTTAGTGGAAACCTTGAATCGTAATATCCAGACACCGAGACATTCCAGTGTCGTAGCTGTATACATGTACTGGGTGCTGGTTCACTTCTCTGCTCTCCGACATCCACTGGTCGCGGCAACAATGCAGTTTACCGGGCAGTAATTGAGTCAGGCTGCATCACGCGCTTCTCTGATCTCGCGTGACTCTTTGGTGTTATGTTACGTGTTAGTTTGGGTAGGGATACCCCCCAACTCTGTCCTTTGCTCTTTGATGCCCTTTACTGATCAAACACCCTTTTACGATCCTTAGGGTTAGTTGTGAGGTTGGGTAGGGGTTTAACTATCTCTTTTTATGATAACAAAAATCCTTACAGTTTCTTGTCAAGTTTCAAGTTTTGCAGAGAAAGTCGCTACTGTGCATGAGCTTAAAGTTAAAGGTAAACGATCAGGTGCTGATGACTTGGTTAACAAGAACTAATATTATTATTTCTGATAGCGCCCATGTTAAAGTTTTGGCTAATTAGATTAACTCTTTAGTCAAGCTTTGGTTCAATCTGGCAACGTGAATTTGATCCTCCACACACCGCTACATGAAAACTGATAAATTAAGTGCTCCCGGGTAAGTGCGCATCTCCCCTGGTCGCCAATATACACATTCACACTTTTTTAATGTTTCTAAAAAAGTCTGATGTTGATTTTGAACTGGTGTTCACCATCTCCATTCTTATATAGAACAGATTTGTTTCCCTTTGATCGTTTTTATATCTACAGGCCACTGGTCATACATTGGCATGTTTTGTTGTAGGTGACATAATTCATGTCTCTGTGGTATTATAGAGTGGGAAACATGTTAAGGGAGCTGAGCCTGACTAAGTTCCCTTTCTGCTACATATACTACTTGATATCTGCAGCCTTCTCAACTCACACAACATCTTAGATGCTCAATTCTATGCAGTCCTACTCCTGTTTTGGGGATGTGCTTTGCATTAGCACTGTGACAAAAACAGAAGCAAATCAGCCTACTTACATTCAGCGACAAGATGGCATTACCTTCATTGTCAGATGATCAGACACTATCTATGCCAGGAAAGACTTCAGAGTTGTGTTGGCCAGCTACATTTTCCACCCCTTTGACCACTTCTGTAGTATTGAAAGTTTTGACACCAGCAGAGACAAGTTCCACAGATGCATAATTTTTTTTCTCTTCCAGAAATAACTAATTCTTGTGACATCACTCTATTGTTCTAACACCGCCATCATATAGCTTGAATATTGCTGAGTGCAGCTGTTAGAACAAACAACCAAATATTGTGCTGTGTGTTATTTCCCACGAATAATTTCAGCCAAATAGCTGAAGCTCCCCAGTCATCAACATGAACTATTCCGTTGTCATTGCAAATCGCAGTGATTCATTCACCATGTACATTTTGAACTGCATATGCAACCACCTGTTTCATTTCGACGTAGGTATAGTTGGTTGTGTTTGCACATTAGCTGTTCGTCTGCATTAAATTATTCATGTCAAAAAGCCCTCAAAAGCATGTATTCGTGACTCTCGTGTATTCTTTTTCACAAAAACACACTTTTTTGCTCTTTCATCCTGACAGAAGTTACCTTCATCCCCTTACAGCACAGTCCTTTCACAATCGCTTGTTTCAACTCGTTTGGTCTTTCCAGGATTAGCTACAACACTCACAGGCTTTAAAGGGGAGGTGTTTACCAAACTCCTTGCATCAGGTGTCCCCATAGCAACTTGTGTCAACAGTTAGCTTTTCCCTTTGAACCTGCTCTACAATATTTATAGTCAAGAAGTGTCCATGTGATTTAAGATACGTATCGTATAGTGAGGCCCCTAAGTATCGTGATACTTATCGTATCGTGACCTTGCTGTATCGTTGCTGTTGATTCTTTACAGGAATGTATGGCAGAGACGAGGGACTGGCGCCAGTGTCAGGATAAGGTGAAAGCTTTTCGCAAGTGCGTCGAGAAGAGCATGCTAAATCAGTTGCCCAAGAGCTGACCATTGCTGGACACGCCGTGCTGTGACGTGTTGAACTTTTCCATCCGCCCGTTACAGTTCAACCACAGGACCAAGTGTTCTACTGAGTTTAAAAGTCACAGTTGTATGATGAACATATTTCTGTTTGATATACATGTATCATGTATATTGTATATGTCCAAAATAATGATGGAAATGGGTGTAGGTAATTCTATCAAGGTCAGAGGCTTGCCCATCGTGTAATACTTGTAATAAACAACAGATAGTGCTGTACATTGTCATGTGGACTACCACCCTCGGGAACATGGAAAGAGCATGCAGAGTCAGGTTAATTTGTGTCAACAGACTGTGATTTATTAAAGTTTTTCTAAATTTTCCGTCCTCATTGAGATTTTTTCCGACACTTTCTTGACAAAGTTGAAAAAATTGGAGAACATGTTTTCATGCATCATGCAGCTGGCTTACAAATCAGAAGAAGCCGAGTTACCTCTAATCAGTATCTTGGTGACCTTGTGCCATGATGTTGTCAGATGCTTGGGGAGTATCGATTGAATGTGAATATTTGTCACCTTCATCTAAGTAGGTGATAAACATACATTGTTTTCAATGGAGCAGGGTTTTACGGGATGCAGAACATTGCGTCTGATATGCAGTAAAGTTGAGAGTGAACACACATAATCTGTACTCAACAGTTCATGGAATTCACAAGTATGGCTCTATGAAAGAGTCAGGGAGTTTGGTTCCCTGCTGCTTCTAGCAATATCACAGCGGGTGAAAAAGGCTCTCCACATTGTGCCCATGTGGGGAATCAAAACCAAGCCTTCGGTGTGACAAGCGAACCCTTTAACCACTAGGCTACCCCACCGCCCCTATGACCCTTTGAAATGTTGACCAATTCAGTTGCAGCCATGGTAGCATGCACAGAACACTTTTATCTCCATGTCTGATTTTCACGCAAAACAACATTGCAAACATAAGACATTAATACAACATATATCCCCATGTTATGGGTTTTCGGACGCTGAAGTAACATTCATAGTTTTCTCACTAATCACATAAACAACTGTAAAACATCTTATTCACTTATGGGCTAAAAGACAACTTTATCTAAAAACAAGCCATCTTCTGAGTATTTACAATTTCTATGTGACGCCACACTCCGCGTTGTAGTGCAAGTATTCGTGATAAGAAACGTATGATGTCCAAAAACCTATGATAGGACGATAGTATTGTCAGGAATAATAGTAAAGGCATATATATATGATGCTGAAAGCTCTGGTCGAAAGCATTGATCTATGCAATTGGAATACAATGACATGCATCAACCAAGACCACCCAATCCCGTTAGTCACCTCTTACAAGCATGAGATGCTGCACATACTGAAGACCCAGACCTTCATGGGTCTTCTTTGTTTGTTGTTTAATGCCACACACAGCAATATTACAGCTATGTCAATTATCGACAGGAGCATCGATCTACACAACTGGGATACGATGACATGAACCAACCATGTCAGTGAGCCTGACCACCTGATCCTGTCAGTGGCCTCTTGCAACAAGCATGGGTTGCTGAAGAAGTATTCTAACCACGACCACGAACGAGTGTTGATATATTTGCTATCAAAAGACAAGTGGGTGAGATTATATTTATCATCCAACATCATTCTTCCAACTTTTTCAGTTTGTAGATAGTAATAAGCAGTGTCTTATTTGTAAAAAGTACTGCTAACAGCTTCAGTAGCAGAGCCATTAGTGATGTCATTTGATTGTGACGTCATGGTAACCAATGACGTCACGATGGTCTGCAAAGCATTGTGATGCAGTTTCATTGCAGCGATATCTACAATGAAGATATTGCTTGATCTCACCCAAGTGAAATCTCCTGTGGGAGCCAGTTTTGGATGATCAATGTGATTGCCATTTTTGTTTATGTACAAAACAATGAAAGGAATGTGTGTATGTAATATTTGATCTATGGTACTATTCAAAACCAAAAAATAATAACTCTCACAAAACCTCCCCATAATTTTATTCAGTCAATATGACATATACATACTTGAAACAAAATGGTACAAATTCATCCAAAAGATGAGTGAGCAAACATACATTTATACCAGTGTTTCAAAACACAACCCCTTGTACTTTCAGCACGTGTCATCACCCACATGTACAGAACATGCTATTGCCAGATCATACAGGGAATAATGGCCAAACAACACTTCCAACTGGTTTGTTGGTTGTTTCACGCCACTCTCAGCAATATTCCAGCTATATGGCGGAACCCTGTAAATAATCAAGTCTGGACAAGACAATCCAGTGATTGAAGTTGTGAGCAACAATACATGTCATCAGGATACAATGACACTCAATCAACCAAGTCACTGAGCTTGACCACCGATCCAATTGGTCACCTCTGATGACCAGCATAGGTTGCTGGGGACCAATTCTAACCCAGAGCCACCATGAGGGATTCCAAATGGTACTTAGTAAACAGTTTCCGCAATGAAAGGTGGAGGATTCTATTTGTACAATTTGAAGAATACACCATGTTCATAGTTGCTCATGCAACCTTGGATGGCCTGCTTCCTCTTACTATTTGGACAAGAGCAAGTATGTCTTTCCAGACAGGCGATGACATTTTGAATTAATCTTTAAGCTGTATCACATACCAGTGACAACTGAGGACCTAACTTGTACTTGTATTTGTATTGCTTGCTTGCTTGCTTGCTTAATGCTGTGAGATAAATCTCATAAACTGTGCAACACATACATTGATCTAATATCACTCAAACTGCTTCAGTGTAAAACAGCGACAAAAAGTGCACTTTCATATTTAAGGCCTTTTATTTTGTTTATTGGCTTACGAGAAAGACCGACACCAAAATAAAAAGAATTTTGTCTGACTTTTATAATTAGGGGAAATGGTGAATATGTATAAAAATCTATATTCTAACAAAAACATCCACAGTTACCTTTCAGTATTTTGCCATGTTAGAACACCTACATTGAATATCAGGCATAAACTTTTGTAAATCAACAAGAAAATACCTAAATAAATACACGGCCTTAGCATGTTCCATTGTGGCCACAACATCCTGCAAACACTTGAGGTACTTGACATAAAGCTAAAGTCGATGAAGCCAAGTGGGAAGTTAAACTATATCTATGTACATATGTAAACAGGTTGAATAGAAGCAGGAGAAGGTGACAGGAAGGAAATCCATTACTTGAGACCATGTTGCCCCCCCTGTCCCTTCTCCAACACAGCAGCAATATAATAACAAGAGCTAAAATTAAATATGCATGATATGAAAAATACAACAATAAATCGGTTATCCATTGTAAACATTCTTGTTTGATTCCCTGGAATGAACTGGAGTATAACATACTTATATTTATTAAACATTCTTACTAGGAATAGGATTATTTTTACACAAAAATGTGCTACAATTAATAAAACAGCATGCAGGGCAAAGTTTATCTACCCTTATTTTATGTATACCTGGCACACTGACGTCATGAAAACCCGACAAAAGATGTCATTCTTTTTGCTCAGTTTCCCGAGCTGCTGCTTGCAAAACATACAGCACATACTCTTGCTACTGACTTCATGGTGCACACACAGCTTGCAAAGGCTTTGAATTTTAGTGTTGGTCTTGAAAAAGCCTTTAAAAGGCCTATATACCGGTAGTTACATGAAAAAATCATGTGTTCTCTAACTCCTTTTGAGTAGTATACATTGATGTTACTAGCCACATTCTCTGTGGAGCAGGATGCCTAAAGCTGTAAAACAGAAGTTTTTTTGCATGTTCAGACCAAAGATAAGTTTTCTATTTCTCTATTCAACGAAATAATTTCCATCCCACACAACCCTGCATAATGATGAGATGGAACGGTCAGGATATATTAGGACTACTCACTCCTTATTTTCATGTTGTAAACAAAACAAATATATAAAGAGGACAATTGTCTTTTCTCAAAGAGAGAAACAAAAAAGGTTCTGAGGAATATTCAGTCAAGATATGTATTGATACAATAGTTAACTGAGATCAAGGATTAATGATTTCAGCAAGTGAGCATGCATAAAATGAAATGAGGACAGTTGTGTATGGTGAGGGTGCCAACCCCTTCTCTCAACATGCTCAAAGCATCCAGCATTCCACTTAGTTTGTCTTGGCATCCAATATAAGAACTCTTAGTCATATCAGTGTACACAGCTGCTAAAGGTAAATTAGAGTGGGATTTCACATGGAATGCATGACGATGTGTGCTCACAAGCTTAGGCTAATATTTTATTCATGTGTCACTCTTTGCACGAAAATAAATAAGACAAAAAATTAAACAATGAGATACTGGCTTCCAGGTAGCACCTAACAAGGCTCAGCTTTCATTTAAATGTGTAATTGCAATCAGAATCATGAGGTCATGCCACAGTTTTTACATTGAAATGTCACTGGGCTGAAACTTATTCGTTGACTTCATAGAAAGTTGTGAATAATAAGGTATATTAATAAAAAAAATTGGCCAATGTTGTTCACTGGCTGTGGAAACTGACATCGTTGTACATGTTGTATGAATGAATGTTGTTTGAAAGATAAATATCATATTAAGAGAATGCAAATACTTGTTGACTTCTAAAATTGAAATATACTACATGTCACTGTCTGACTTCAACAAGCAATGACTTTTCCGCAAGGGAAAGTGAATTCCTCCATTCCATGAATCTACCATGTAATCATAACACAACTACCGTAATTCCTCAATTAAACGCCCAGCCTCAAATTAATGCTGAGGTCTCGATTAAAAGCCAGGCCTTGATTTATGCACAGAGTTCTCCACATTAATATCTTTGTGATTAAACACCTGGAGCAAAGATTGTCTACAAATTTGAATATATGCCCAGGCGTTTAATCAGAGAAATATGGTACCCGGGGTATGGTGTATTCCAAGCAGGAGGCAGTGGTACCTGACCTTCCATGATATCATGGGACTAGACTCTTTGGGGCACACCTCTATTACTTCCAAGGAATGGACAGCTAATTGTGACGTTTTGATATACACAACCTTGCAATAAAGTTCTTTTTTCAAACATATAATATAACAAGTTTCGTAATGAATATGTCTGACTGCAGGTACAATTGAAGAATGTGTAAATATTAAACAACAAATTTCCACCCAGTAAAGACAATGAGAAGGATTCAGATGCACTGACGCAAACCATAAAACATAGTGCCCCGGCACTGTAGCTCACCTGGATATGTACACAACAGTTGTAAATGTTAACACAGACAGACACTGAACAATGCCGGCCACATTGAAAATGAGATCCGTACCTCTCGGACAAATTTAGGTGTCATCACTGGTGGGAACAAGTTTGTGAAATTTCCGCTTCTTTGGTCCAGTGGTTTGTGAAGATGTTTACAACAGATGACTGATGCTGGATGCCAGACTATCAGGCCATGGCTTAAGCTCAGTTGACTTTCAGTCAGGAGAGCTAACATCTATAGCACAAATTCAACTCAGTGTGACAAGACTCCACACACACGCCACGCTGTTAGACAGCATACTGGAAACAGCGAAATACACAGCAATCACATCACATCATAATAGGTAACTTCACATACGTATCAGGTTAAAACTTCTGAATATATATTCTGAATATGATTTCGATATATATGTGTATATTACATTGGATTATGCTTGTACTGTCAATCTTAACAATATTAAATGACAGATAAAAATATGTCCCATTTGTTTCTTTTGGCATATCACATAGTCTCATCATTCTCATCATCTTACCAAACATGGCAATTCTTGTATCACGATAAATATATTATGCTTTGAATAATAATAATGTTCAAGTAACATGAGCCTTCTTATTAAAAATACTGATGCCAGTATCTATTGTTTTACAGCTATGAAATTTCAAAATAAACAAAACATTATTTTTGTTCATAAAAGGGATTCATGAACGAAGTGTAGCATGAATGCACCAGTGATCTGCTACAGCTGCAGATCTAAAGTGATGTTTCTTCTGGTTCACCTAGTAGAGTCACATGGTTGACTTTCCCATTTGAGATGTTGCCGTTGCTCTTTTTGTCCTCAACATGTCCAAGGAGTTCATCCCCCTCCTCTTCTTCATCACTCTTCCCTGTTGTTCGTGCAAACAGCGTTGTTTCCTGTATGTCATCCAGCAACCCTGCAACATCAGTTCAACACCATCATGCACTGATCACAAGACAAAATATCTCATTTTAGAATCTGCATCTCATCTTTTCTAATCATGAATCCGAGAAGAAGCTGTGAACTTTATTGCAGGTCTTTAATCTAATCATCATTTACAACCCGTTGACTTGGTTGATGCATGTCATCATATCTCAATTTCGTAGATTGATGCTCATGATATTAATCACTGGATTGTCTGACCCAGACTCGATTATTTACAGACCGCCGTCATATAGCTGGAATATTGCCCAGTATGGCATTAAACAACAAACAAACAAACAACATCATTTACAAATGTATTCATACGCCACCCTTACACCAACAACAACCTTTTTCAATGTTGAAATGAAAGAATGTGTAAAGTACACAAATAATTTACAATACTTGTCACCTTAGATACCATTTTTAGCAGAACTCTTGAATTTTTGTAAAAATCATTTTCGCTCATTAGATACATTTTGAAATACATAATAAACACAGTTTCTAACTGGGACACTCACATATATTTTAACCTTTAACACTTTCAACTCAAATACACACAAATTATACAAACAGGTCAACATGTTCAGTTCCAATACACACAGGTCATACCAACAAGGCATCATGTTTAGCTCCAATACACACAGCTGGTACCACATGTATTGTTTCATATTTTCAGCTCCAATACACAGAACACCAACCTGTTATTTCCAGATCATAAGTTTGCAAAGGGACTTCCCCTTTAATCATGTACAACACGGACTTGCTGGGCCAGAACAGGTGAATCAGAACAGCATACGCCAAGACATCTGCCGCATAGGATATACCTGGAGATACAGAATTAACATAGTTAATGAGATTAAGATTTATGAACAAGAATGTGTAACTGTCTCAATTACATTCAAACAGACCGAAAAGCCTCCTTGGACAGTTTAACACTCATACCTTTTACTGATGTTTGGCCCCCAAATTCATGTGTCAGTAGGTCAGAAAAATTAAAAATAGAAATTCCTATTTCAAATATCTATTTTATTTTTCTACAAATGTTAAGCAGGTAGGGAAAATATTGAAAATTTTCAACAGGTTTTAAAAACAGTATTTTACATTATTTATTTATATTGATAAAAAAAATAATGATAGGGATGTCACCACATGACAATCTTGAGCTGTTGATGAATTTTTATTTTCCAAAGGGCATAACACCATTGGCTTAGTACTTCCTCTATATCTGGTATATAAAACTTAATCTGTCTCGTTTCAATCAATGTTATTCAAATTTCAGATAAAACTAGAATGTCAACACCAGTTAGAAAAAGACTAGAACAGAATTTAACTCTCAAAACATTGTACAATGTAGATCTAGCATAAATTAATAATGATAAAATTGTGTATTACAATGTAGGTAATTTTGCCAACAAAGTCAATCCATTGATGTTTTAAATGTTCCATGTGTGAAACAATACGAGTAAATCCTGACGTCCCCAGTGAATGAGGTTGTTGTTTTGAAATTATTTCTGGTCAGCAGAACAAGCAATGATAATAAGAACACTGCTTCTGAATTTTATTCACATTTCTATTTTTGGAAATCAGTAGATTTTAACAATGTATGTTTGGTTCAAATGAATTATCTTCTTGTCTGAGAAAAAACAACAACTGAATACCAAAAACCAGTTCAGGACAAGTGTGACGTGTATTCACAGTTTCACAAAAAATACATTGAATTCTTCATGACTCATGAAGAATTCAATGTATTTTTTGTGAAACTGTGAAAAATATGACTGATGAATGATGTATAATGGATGGACCCTGTTTCAATACATGTAACAGATACATCAAAACATTTCCTTGATAACTGTGACACATCCATGCCTCTATTTACATTCACATGAACAAAGAAAGTAATTTATCTCCTCACAACCTGATACCATGTTCAGAAACTTTAGGAAATATTAAGTTAACTGCATATACATACTGAGAACGGTTTTGAAGCGCCATAAAGCTGACACCTGCGTTGCAATGAGAGCAAGGACAGGCAGGTAGACAAACCAGACCAGACAGAAAGCACCAAAGTGTTGGAAGAAGTTCAGGCGGTCTGGGTGGACGGCAGAGCGGAAAGTTTGGCGAAGTTCCCACAGAAACCACATCATTATAACCAGACGAAATGCAAGAGTCAGATATCCAGAGTATGTCTGCCATTCATCTAAGTTGGATATGATGTCTACTTCAGTCTGAAACATACATTGGATATATCTGCTTCTGTCTGAAACACACATCAGATGTCTATATTTGCCCTGAAACACTAATACAGTCTGTGACTTTAGCCGCTAGTCTCACTGTCTGTACTCAGAGTCTAGTAAAATGTTGTCAGGTCTTGTAATCTTAACATTAACACTAAGTTCTACTGAAATTGATGCCAAGAGACAGGTACAGGCTAGTAGACTCATACGTCTTGGGTACAGATTGCCAATATCTTTGTCTGCCACTAGTTCACTTAGTATAGAAGAGATAACATAGTCCCATCCTACAAAGGATCTACTAGTATCTGAAACATAACTTATACAATATAATACCAATAGACTGGGTCCCCTAAAAATATAGGTTCTTTGAGCGGCATTTAGAAGTTGGAGTACTAAGCATGCTAAGTAGGGATAAGATATATGAATTAACAACTTCTTTTTTACAATTAGGAGCTATGTTTCAGTGAAGTTGCTGGATGGATAACGGTGTTAGAACCTACACCGAAATGTCGCTCCTAATTGTAATAAAGAAGTTGTTCATCCATAAATCTTATCCTTACTTAAAAATATAGGGTCATAAAATATAATAGAAACTAACTGTTTAAGTCCCCTAGTCCTTATAATGATAACATATTGCAAAACCCTAAAGAATGGCAAGTTTCTATTAGTCCTTATGATACCTTAACAATTGGGCAGTTTGGAAAGGTCTATAATCATGATAACAGTATAGGACTAGAGCCAATTTCTAATGCTGACAATACTTACTTTGTTCCAGACAAAGAGGACAATATTCAAGACAGTGTAGATTCCCCATAGAGTGAAGAGGACAGTGTTTCTGCTGAGTTTGTCCGTGGTAATCTCCCAGCCTTTAGCAATGAGCAAGAGGAACAGCATAAACAGACACTGACTGAGGACTCGGACAAGGGTGCCAGTGATGCCCAGCCACTCGGCCCCCCACCCATTGAAAGCAAAGATGGTGGTGTCAAGGAGGCTACAGCTGATGCCCACCATCTCCAACAGGAAGCTGACAGTGAAGATCTTTGTTAGGGTGTGTTGTTGTCTACGGAATGCATACAACCACAACAGAAACAGTAAGCTACACAAAACTATTGCCATCAGGTGGATTTCAAACACATCATGCAGCTCGAAGGAGAACTGGTGTTCAAATGGGTTGAGGTGTTTTGCACTGGGGTCACCATTGACCATCCATATGTCATAGGCAACTATTCCATGTTGAGACCTGTTGTAGCGCCACTGACACCTGGGCTCCTGAACAGTTTCCCGATAACAGGCAACAATACTGACATACCAAAACCTGAAACAGACAAAAAGTTATGACTGGTTAATTGGAATACCAAAATAGAATTGACATGCATGATACAATATTTGGTTTTTAAAATCATTTTTAGTTTATGTCCTGTATTTTCTGTCATCTGACTTGCTCGGGTGGTTTTTGCATTTGCAACATCTCTGAAAATAGAAAGTCTATGACGCTAATACCTTACATATATGATCCCAGCTATGGTGTCTCTAAAGTGAGTGAGTGAGTTTGGTTTTACGCCGCTTTTAGCAATATTCCAGCAATATCACGGCAGGCGACACCAGAAATGGGCTTCACACATTGTACCCATGTCAGGAATCAAACCCAGGTCTTTGGCGTGACGAGGGAATGCTTTAACCACTAGGCTACCCGACCGCCCCGATGTCTCTAAAGACTAGAATTTTGTCCCTATCTTAAACATGGGCACCCTGACAATGCTGGCAGTGTATTTGAGATAGAAGGAAGCTGTGTCGGGAGCAAGGACAGTAATCATGGTGATATAAAACTAATTGCTACTGTAAAATGTAGAACACTAACAAATTCAAAAAAGAAACTGACAAATGCTACATGTATATGTATTCTTCATAGTAAAATAAAAACAAACAAAATTAGTTACTACTTTCATCATGTAGACCCCCTCAAAAATTATTCCAAATATTTGACAAATCAAAATAAGAGCCAAGTCCCTTTTACAGACACGTCACACTTATCATAAAACAAGCCTTGCAAAGTTTGATCTGGCTTTGAATAAAACAGCCAATCATGATGTGTGGCAACATTTAATACTTAAGGGTAAAAAATTATCTCAATTGTAATATACATTGTTATTACATTCAACACAATTTCAAGAAAACACCCAACTGTAGGTGTCCATGGTAAGAGAGTATGGCGGCAATGAAACATCAACAATAGCTACAACAGTCGACAGGAGCTCAACCATACCTGTGTCATCTATGTTGTAATCAAGGACCTGCATCATTTAGTTACTGTACAATTGGTAAATTGTTTGATAGGCATTACTTAGAAGTTGACGGATGACAAGGTAGACACAATTTTATGGATAACAACTCCTTTAATACTGTGAAAAGCGACGTTTCGGTATAGAAACTATTGCTTGACAATGGTATAAGGATCTATACTGAAACGTGAAAAAAACTTGATTCATATTGATCAAACATTTATAGCCATGATAACAAATGTTCCACTGTTTTCATTGTTTGTGAAGAGGCCCATAGCAACTTGACATCATATGAATGCATTGCCATAAATAACTGAAGATTATGTCCTCAATTGTTCATGACGACTTACTGTGACATGATTCCAACAACAAGGTAATTGACCTGATGTCTCAGTTCAGATCAGGAAACTAGGGCTGGGACGAGACCATATTAACTACCCGGGTACCCACCACCCTATTACCACTGATTACTCAACCCTTAGTAACCCGCTGAAGATATTTAGAGATAGGTACAAACTGTCCGATTTGGAAATGTTTGACCATAGCCCTGGCAAAATGTATTTAGATACACGTGTAAAACGATCCGGTCATGCATACACTGAAGTTTACTGCATGAAGTTTTATCCTTATTCAAACATATAAAAGTCAGAAGAAATGGGTGCATTGTCAGAAAGAAATTGGAACATTAGTGACTTATAGTGTAACCATAGAGTTTAGATAATGTTTGTCATTAAACAATATATCACATGACTTACCACAGGTTCGGGTAGTCCTGTGGGTACCTGGGTCCTACTCAGGACCCACCCGACCCTCGTACCTGAGTTACCCGTCCCAGCCCTACAGGAAACAAACATTTTTCTACATATTCTCAGAAAAAAGACTATAGATAATACATAGCATAACCTACTAATACCCAATGGCTTGGAAATTAATTCACAAGGGGCAGATAAACCATAATCATGATAACTCCTTGTTGCTCGTAATTTAGTCTCTACATACATCAACAGTTAAGAACATGACTGGTGCTATGCTAATGTTAAACACAATTTAATAATAATGATAAGGTCAAAACAATTCTTTGGTTATAATGTAAGTCACTCGACCAAGCTAGATGCTCTGAGGTTCAGGACGATCACTGCTTGAAAAGGTACTGTTCACTGAACACAGAAACAAGACAATCATCATCACCATCATCATGATCATGTTTATTATCATCTTTCACAATGATTGCAATAATCAGATGCAGATGTATGGACACTGTAAACATCCACCTGTCTACACAGCTGATAAAAGGTAAGTTATCATTATAATAATTATACATGCACACAGTTCCACATTTTGACCTCAATCAATGACCAGAATAAATTTCAGACACCTAGAATACTATTGTGAAGATGATGTACAGCTGCAACATGTGCAAAGTGCTCCAGATTGTAAATACAACGTCAGAGTATGCGCAGTCCTGCTGATGTCATTGAAGTTATAGATTTGGTCACAGTGCTTCACTGGAGGGAGTTGTGGGTTTGCTACACCTGTTACAGTCTACAAAGACACAAACGACACATGCTGCAATATCACTAACACTTATCTATCTACCATTAACCGAACAGATTTAACAAGAATACTCTCCCAGCTGTGTGCCTGAAGCACATATCACCTGTCTCATCGATCAAGCATAAAAGATGTAACAACTATGACAAGTGGGTTACACATGATGAATAGGGCACCTCACATCCATTTGTTCTTTAGCTTTGATACCTTCAATGCAAATACAATATCTAACGTGCTTAACGAATGGAATTTACTTTCTTGTGGCTTCCATGGTGACATAAATGGACAGCAGTTATTCTAATGTCATTATTCATGTATACTGATCTAGTGCAGGGATGTGAGCAGGTTTTCCCGAAAAAAGAGGAAAAGTGTAGGGGGGTCTGGGGGCATGCCCCCCCCTGAAATTGTTTAAACATTTGATTGCATTTTAAGCGTTTTCGTGCAGTTTGGACAACATTCACACCAAGAAATGTAATAAGTCAATGGCAAAAGTCAATAAGTCAAATAAACAAGATGGCAGCTGCAATAAAATTTCGAAGTTAAATCAGTACTTTTATCAAATCGGGCATAGCTTCCGCGCACCTGGCTACCCGCCAGGTCTGGGAGCAATACTGCCATAAACTTCAACCCCCATCCCCCAGACACAAGGACAACTGTCACAAGCGTGCAATGTCTGACCATTTCCCCATTTTGAAGCATATTGAAAAAAACTTACCTTGTACTTACCACCCTTTTTGTTGAAAAAAACAAAACTCCATTGCAAACATAAGACATTTATACAACATATATCCCCATGTTATGGGTTTTTTGGAAGCTAAGGAAACATTAACAGTTTTCTCGCTAATCACATGAACAACTGTAAAACATCTCATTCACTTACAGGCTAAAAGACAACTTTATTTTAAAAACAAGCCATCATCTGAGTATTTACAATTTCTGTGTGACGCCACACCCCTCGTTATAGTGCAAGTATTCGTGATAGAAAACGTATGACGTCCGAAAACCTATGCTGCTGAAAGCTCTGATCGAAAACAGGACAATCCGCGACGATGGTCCGGTTTTCGATTATATTTTTCGGAGTGTTTTTTTTAAAATCTTTGATTATATTTTTACGCGGAAGATGATTTTTCCCGAGGACTACTGTTTTAAAAAACGTGATTTTCCGCGTTTCCGCGGAGATTTCACATCCCTGCTAGTGGATATGATGATAAGCATGATAAGGGATAGAACCTACATGAACCTAGAAAGTCTACCAGCTCGAATAGTGATAACATACATTCATCCCCCAAATGTTCAAAATTCTACCAGCCCTTAGGATACCTTTAACATTAGTGAAGATGGCTCAGACTAGCGGGCTAAGTTCTAATATCTGTCCCTGCTGATACAACCACACTGATGGAAGTCTTTGAGTTTATAGTTCAAAATATAGGCTATGTTACCATGGTTACTGTGAAAACAAAGTGATGCTTCAAATATGCCTAAGACTAATTGGTTCATTTCCTTTAAATAATTCATTGTAATATATCAGCTGTACTATTTCTGTTCTTGCATGACTATCTTGAATATAGCAAACTGCATATTGCTATGAAAATTATCATGATTATATATAGTTAATCTGGAAGCTACATCAACATGATAAATTTTAATTTTCAAAGAAACATATGGTTTGCTATTTTCATCCAAGAACAGATTATTTTACCTGGAAGCTTCTGGGTCAAAAAGGTCCCCAGCAACCTATGTTGGTCATAAGAGGTGACTAAATGGATCAAATGATCAGCCTCAGAGACTTGGTTGATTGTCATCATATCCCAATTCCATGGATCAGTGTTCATGTCAATCTCTGGATTGTCTGGTCCAGATTCGTTTATTTACAGAGAGTCATCATATAGCTAAAATATTGCTGTGTGTGGCATCAAACAACAAACAACATCAACAAGAACAACACAACACAACACAACACAATACAATACAATCTGTGACGTTACATCTATAGTCAAACAGTCCAACAGGCCATGTCTAGCAAGTCTGGAACTTAGCGGAGCTAAAATGCCTTTTGAGCCATAAGCATGAAAAGCATGATAAGTGAATGATCTATCACATTTCCAAAGTACAATCAGCAATATTCAAGCCTTATCACGACAGCCTGTATATTTATATCAGTGGCCTGAGGTTGAGCACGAGGAACTAGATATCACTGCCATTGGACAAAAATTGGCACTGTCAGCCATGTCACACATCATAACCACATGATTCCCCATTAGTCACTCTCACTACAAGCACTAGCATCCTAGAGCTTTATTCTAACAGGTATCCCCACAATGGCCCGGTTTAAAATGGTCAAGAAGGCATGGTAACCTTGGCTACTGACAAACACGCTGAATTGCTGAAAGTTTCAGTAAGAAGACTCAAATTCTATATCTGGGGTAGTGAAATGTGGATTCATAGAGCATTCAGGATTATTGCCTAACTCAGCATAAACCATCTG